ACTGCCTTTTATTGAACATATACCATACATATATATAAACATATAATTTAGATTTTGCTTCTGCTAATTAGCTTAAACCAGTACCCGTTCTTTGGCGCCACCTGAAATCCAGTGTTACCCAATACCATAGGTATCGTTGACTTTTTGGCTGGAACAATGTGAAAGTCTCGCACCAAGTAATACAATATAGCCTTTGCTTCCAAAAGCGCGAAACGAGAACCTGAAAAAAAGTAGATTTTCACAATAAATACAACACATTAGATAAAAAAAGTAGGAAACGCAATAACGCACCAATGCAATTTCTGGGGCCTTCACCAAAAGGCATATATGTAAATGGCTTGATTTTGTCTTTATTCTCATTGCTAAAACGTTCGGGATCAAACTTTTCCGGATTCGGAAAGTATTGAGGATCGTGTTGTAGACCCACCACGGGTATCAAAATAGTTTGGCCCTTCTTTATTTCAATGCGTTTTCCATCTGCTTCGAACACAAAATCTTTCGTACACTCACGATCAAGATTAACGGCGCCTGGCCACTTCCGTAATGTTTCACTTATAACCATATCTAAGTACTTCATGCCCTGCAAGGCCTCATAGGTCACTTGTTTTCCCTCAAGTCGTTCATTAACTTCCGCAATTTCCTGATACACTTTCTCCTGCACGTCCGGATTCTCCATTAGCTCTTGCGTCGCGAAGCAAATCAGGGTCGAGATCGTTTCAAAGCCAGCGAAAAAGAAAATGAAACATTGCGCTATCATTTCTGTGTCAGTCCAATTGCGACCGTGTGACTTCGGCGAGTCAGAGGGAAAGAGGCCGCGAGCCTCCATAAGTAAGTTAATCATATCGGCACGACGGATATTGTGCTCCTTGCGGTATTTCAAAGCATCGAGGACGAGATAACGGAAGTAGTTCGTTATGCTTGCGTCAAAAAGGTCCACTTTTAGCAACTGGAAGAGAGTGGTGATGTACATATATAATCACACAACTCGGTTTGGGTAGAGATGCAGTCTTGAATATTAAGTAATTTGTACTTACCTTCATCAGATCCTTGAAATGCATGAAGAGAATGAACCTTAAATTCGTTTTCCAATTGAATGTGGTCGCCTTCTTGCCCAACATATAAAATTGATTCTCTTTATTTTCGAAAGAATTTACTTGCAGACCAAATGCCGTTGATGCAATGACGTCGGTGGCGAAACGCGTCGCATAATCCTTTAACTCTAACTCGACACCCTCGCCATCTCCTTCCGATTGCAATTGCTGCAGATATTTTGCACTATCCTCGGCCACTTGATTGATCAATTCGAACATTTGACGAAGTCGGCTGCCGGTAAAAGCAGGACTGAGGGTGCTGCGCATATCTTTCCACTTGTCATCATTCAATTGAATCAAGGAGTTACTAAATAGGTCATGCGGACTGTCACCGAAAAAGTCGCGATGGTTCACGAAATGATCAAAGTCTTTGACAGTGATTTTTCGCAAAATTTCCGGATCTCGTATAAGAAATATAGGTGTCGTCTGGAAAAATATGCCATAAACGCTGGAATAAACAATAACTATTAGGACTCTGTCTTATTGGATTAAAAGAACTATTTAAGAGAAGAGAAAATGTGCTGACTTTGGAATAAAGGGACAAAAAAATTCAGAGAACTCATATACGAGTATTAGCTTGGGTGCTTAGATAAAGCAGATATCATTTTCTCTACTTACAAAAATCATTCAATAATTTTTCCAATTTCCAACAAAAAGCTTTCGCACCAGACAACATTACTCGTACTAATATCGTGCAATTTCCGCAGCCGGGCTTAACCCCTTGAGTGGAAATGATGATTGTCGCCCGCAAACATTTTCTGTGCCAAATTCGACACTGGCGATCAATGCCGGCCACATATTTCTATGCTTCAAAAGTAATAGCTCTAAATTTATGAAACTTAAAAACAACTGTTATGATATTTTTACATTATCTTGGCTCTCTTTTTATCTAAAATTTTATTTATTTTGAAATTAATTTTATTCTTTGAAATTTAATCGTAAGACAAGGGGTTAAAACGAGAACCAGCAAGCAACACTCTGAAGATTTCTCACTTGCCTACCAATATACTATTGGCCACCAACAAACCGGGTAACTAAACCATCTTTCCTCTTGAGCTAAATAAATAAGATTTTAATGGGGAAGCTGGTGATAAAATTTGAAAAAAAAAATGTCTTCATATGTCAATTACTGTGTGTCCGTTTGTTTACGACGCGAAAAGTTGGTCTGGCGATTTTTGCCATGAGAAAAGAATTTAACAAGTGTGGTTAAACTTTTGAGTGTCCAATGAAAGTACGGTTACGCAACCGCTGCAAATGTTGCAGAAGTGTTTTGAGAAGTCCACTTCATCACGAACACAAATATCTCAGTGGCACAAAGCATAAAGTGAAGGACGTGAAGTCAGCGAAAACTTTCTTCATGCCTCATACGAGGACACCCCTATTAATGACGGTAACATCGAAAAAGTTAAAGAAACAGTGCTTCAAAATAGTTATGTTGGCACCAGAGAGATAGCACAGGATCTCATCATCTCCTATAGATCGACTCAACATATTTGGGTTAATTTTTTGGTTATGAAGAATGTCAATGCTAAACAAAATACCCGAAACTTTTATAAAAACGTCGTCGAGTAGGAGACGCAAATGGGATGCTTGACAACGTAGCTGAAAACCCTACATTCACCAAACGCTACATCACTGATGACGCGACGTGAGTTTATGAATATGACGTCGAAACAATTCAACAGTCTAGCGAATGGAGCTCTCAAAATGAGGCGAAACCAACATGACATGACATGATGAACATGAAATATCAGTTTATAATACAAAAAAGAAAATAAAAAATAGAAGCAAGTAAGGAAAATGCAAGTTCGGACGACAACGAGTATTAAATAGCATAGCTCTCGTTTTTCGAAGTCTCACTTTTGTGTTAATTTTTACAGTTCACCAATTTCCGATTCCATCTTCTGAGAGCGGTTCAAAGTAGCTTGTTTCAACTTAAGAATACCTCAGCCCATATTTCTGGTAAAATTATGGCATATTTTATTTTAATATAATTTAAAGCATCTGTCAATATTATAAACAAAATGTAGAATCTCGAGCTAATTGGTTTAAATGATTTCCTTAGATATCGGAAATTTGTGAAATGTTTTCTGCTGCTACAACAACAACAACAATCATGCTGTGCTGATAAGAGCATAAATTTTATATCAGACATATGTTTTATGGACTATTTACCTCTACATAAAGTCCAGTTAATCATTACACTAACATTGAGATAAGGCTATTGTGTGCTAAAGAGTATTTAAAAAGCTTTTGAATAGAAAGTAGTTGGATTTCATGCCGAAAGCTTTGTATATAGAATTGAAAGTGACAAGGAAAGCTTTATGAATATCTGAAGCTTCTGCACTATTTTGAATATTGTTGCATTTCTAGTGAGCGAAACCACTTAATAACGCACTTTGCTCTCTTATAATTTTGCTTGATTGATGTTCTAACTGAATTGAAATTCATTGTACTTCATTATTGTATACAGTGCGTTTTAAAAATAATGTTTTCGTTTTCGATATTGTAGATAGCGTTTATTGTGAAAAGATATTGTACAATAATTATAGAAAATACATTGTTTTGTTATAGCTGACGTTTATTGAATACTTGCTTCAATCTCTGGCGTCGTCTTTTATAGCCTGAGATTTTTGAAGGCAACTTGCAACTAAATTTTTCACATATTCCACAGAAAGCTACCTCCTAGTATGTTGGAGTAGACGAATGAAATCTTTAGTTGGCGTTAAATGTTTTCTTGATATTTTTTAGCTTTCATTAAAGTCCAAACATTCTCTATTGGATTGGCGTCTGGTGGCTGTAATGGCCAATCCAAAATAACAAGATGGTTTTCTTGTTTCGATTGAGTACAGATTCGGCTCCAATGTTTCAATTTAAATGTCTTCTTGTAGTATCCAATCGTGGTTAATTTTGCTGTAAAGCATTTTAGCTGATTTCATTAAATCTTTTTTTATACAATTTTATCATTCCAACGACATTCAGGTTTTCCCTCTTCCTGGATTGTCATTCAGTTTCTTCATAATTTCATTTGAGATCTTTACTTGTTCTTATTTCACGGCACGCCGCGTCATATTAAGAAGATCGAAAAAGACCGAATTGTACGCGTCAGTGATCGTAATTGGACATGTGTTAATATGCAAAAAAAAAAAACATAAAAATGGTTTTCTGTGAATTGAACGCGCAAAGGAAAAACAGTTATTTTTTTAACGCACTGTATATGCACATATATCTGTATGGAATGCCTAATACAAACACCTAAAATGTCTATACATGTCACCTACACTACAAACAAAAACAATAATACTGCGTCTTATTTGTTCTTGATCATGATACAAATAATATCTAATGCTTCATGCTTTTAGTATAGAATATGTATATTAACGAATTATATTTGCTACAAAAACAACCACGAAACAACTCACAATGACCCTAAAATTGATATCTGCAGTAAGAATACCATGTTGAAAAGCCTTTCAAAAGGAAGCGTCATAGACCGTTTAAAGTATATACATATGTATATAAAAATTATTAAACCATTATGCTATAACGTTTTTCATTGTTTTACTTTAACTCACCTGCTTTTTTGCTTATTATAGAGATCTTTGATCGTATGAAATATGGAGCTTCGACGCAGGGTAATTTGAGTTAAACTGCCAAACATCGGAAACGGCTTGTCGTACGGTATTCCACGCTTTTCGAAGAAGTCGAAATTTGCTGTGGCCCAACGATAAAATATATATAGCAAAGTTGAGCCGACAAATAACGCTTCCCACAACATTTTGTACAATTTTTAGAACACAATTGTTTTGATTGACGACTGCAGCGCAACTGATTGAAATTATGAAACTGAACTGCGTTTTAATATAAAGGCTGTGTGCATTTGCAAGTGGGAGGGACAAAAATATGCAGTTATCAGAGCTTTTTCAGAAGCTTTATTCGACAAAGCAGTAATACTTGATAAATATATACATATGTACACTTCTAAATTGCTATCAAAAATATAAACAAACGGCGTCTATTATCCGCCGGTGTGATAAGACCCAACCGCTTCTAAATGTGTAACATGGATAATTATTTGTGAAATTAAAATAATGTTAAATTTAACAACAACACTATACAATTTCATTCAACTTTTTGCTTAAAGTAGTTTTTGTTGCTATTGGAGCACAACAGCATATATGGGATAAGCCATACACTTGCCCTCCCTCAGTGAATCACGCAGCCAATCAATGCATAAGTGCCGGGCCGTCCGTTTGTAATGATCTCTGCGTATGCGAAACATATACAATTAAAATTATTATGAAATTCAAAGTCGAGAATGATTCTCACCTAAATTCACTGAAGTTATCGCTGGAGCATAATGTAGTTGCGTGGAACACAATATTCGCATCTTTTGGATTTTTAGCCACTAAACCACTGTTCGACACAAAAGCACACTTGAACTGCTCATCGCCTACTTCGCTGCCAAAGTGTGCCACTAAATGACTAAATATGTCACTTTCTTTTTTCACCTCCCCACTGCATTGATTAGTTTGAGATTCTGTCTTTATGTTGACATTCTTAACGAAATCACGAAATTTATCTTCTTTCTTGACGAGCGAACTAAAATCCAATTTCGTTTGTTTACTGAGCTTTCCTTCAATCTTCACCATGGCTGCAGCATTTTCCGTCTTCACTTTTGGACTCTGCGTTTTCCTCTTTTTATTTTCGCTAAATTTTTTCTCCAACTCGTCAGCTTTTCTCTTCAACTTAACGCTACTTCCTGGCAATGCATCGTCTTCATTGTCATTTTTGCGATTTTTCTTTGGCGTTAGATTAATTTTGGAGTCTATTTCTTCAATTTTTACATTTACTCCACCATTCTTATCATCACAATTTGAAAGCAACAAATCAACATTCACATCATTTTTTGAGGCTTCAAAAAGTTTCTGCAGATATTCCAAATCATTTGCATGGTCGGCAGATTTGTCCACGCGAAGCCTTGTTATGCGCGGAAATCATATTGAAATCCCGGCCGCAGTGTGTGCCTCCGATTTGGTGAACTCTGCACCCGTTATCTCCCAAACGGGCATTTTATTCGGCACTTTTGCTAAAAAATCAGGCACTAGAGCTTTTTTGCATAATAGCCATGTGGGTACTTGATTTGGATCAGCACGCTCCATTAGATTCATAAGCTCCTCATGCACTTGCTCATTTTCGGCATCATCCAGGCCGGAGTGTACTTTGGTAACAGTCTTCCAGAGTCCATCTCTACTGTCATAGCAGCCCATTAGGAATATGCTCAAAATACCGCCTTTTTTGCCGGAACCAAACCAAGCGCCCAATACAACCAAATCTGCAGTATCGGCCATTTTGCCGCCAAAGAGGTAGTCCTTCTTGACTTTCAGCCAACCACGTTTGCCGGGTTGGTAGGTCCCATTTGGATTCTTCAACACCACACCTTCGAGATTGGCTTTTAAGACCTATAAAATTTATATTTTTACAATAACTGAATTGTTAGCATGAGTAAGACGCAAGAAATATTTGAATAATACCTTAGCTGTCATAAGTGATACCTCGCTCTTGGTTTTTAGAAATTGACTTTCTGAAAGCTCAACACAAGATTTTATGGGATTTATATTTTCCTCCAATATTTTTCTGCGTTTATGGAAAGGTCTAAGTAAAAACAATTGTATTAGCGATTTTGTTTATATTTTGTAACTGATTTCACATACACGTTTGTTAAATCCTCTCCTTTATAGAGTAGGCAGTCAAAAGTGAAAATGCACACCTCTGCGTGTGAAAATTCTTTCTTTTTATGCGCACCTAAAGTACCGAATGGCAGTAAACTACCAGTTATGGTATCGACTAAAATGATTTCTGAATCCAAAATCATATCGCCGCCTCCTGGAAACGCCTTCAGTGGACAAAGTAATATTTGTAACAAGGAAATAAAATAATATGTAAATGTGGATTACCTTCGGTATGAGTTCATGGAATCGTTTGATTTTATGGTCCATCACAGGCTTTAAATTTCTACTGAAGAACCTAGAAAAGCAAAGAATTTTATAACCTTAATTTTTATACCCTTAAAAGTGTATACTAAATTTGCCACGAACTTTGTAACACCCAGAAGAAAACAGCGCAGACCTTATAAAATATATATATTAATAATCGGCATGACGAGCGGTGTCGATTTAGCCATGTCCGTCTGTCTGCCTGTATATACGCGAACCAGTACAACAGTTTTTGAGATATGTGTCGGAAATTTGGCACATTTCCTTTTCTACCCATGTGCTGCTCATTTATCGGAACCGTCAATATCGGACCACTGTAACATATAGTTGTCATATAAACTGAACAATTATACAATATTCGAAGAAATTGTTTAGATCGGACTACTGTCCGATCAAATCCAGTTCTTGTGTGGAATCTTTTGTATTTGTGAAGGGTATTACAGCTTCGGTGCAACCGAAGTTAACGTGTTTTCTTGTTTTTTTATTGAATTCAAAAATTACTTGAACTCGCTCCCTCGTTTGTGTATTTGCACGCGCTCTCCATCGTACTTTATTTCAGTATATAAGCCGTTTGGACATTTTTTAAAAGCTTCTTCCACGGATTTGCAGGCATTAGCCAGCATAGGAGAAATGGGTGTCATTACTTGTACGCAACCAATTTGACCAGTTGCCTTGAAAATGAAAATTATTTACTACAAAATTAATCTGCTATCTACGTTTAAATTAATTTACTTTAGTTGATTTGATGGGTGATGCTACTTGTTGTTTCCCTGTACCAGCAAATTGTTTGACGACTGCTTCCAAATCTCGAGACGATTGATAGGCCGGGTAGGCGAGTGGTCCAAATGCGTCGAGAATGTGACGCGCTCCGGCATTTATACGCAGGTCTTGCTTGATTAGACGTATAATCTTTTTTTAGTACAATTTAGGAAATACATATATGAATGTTGAAATTCGAAATACAGTTAAATATTATACACACACCGTTCTTAAGTCCAAAGAAGTTGCTTGCTTACATAATTGCCGCAGCAGATCGGTCTGTTCGTCCTCTTTTGTGCGCTGTTCAAGTTTTATAAGAAACTCTTCAACGTCTTGAAGATAAAGTGTGCTGTCTGTTTGCGGTTTCACTTGTTTTGATGACTCAAAGTATTTGCGCAATGTTTCGGAAACATCACCATCTGAAAATATTAAATTTCGTATTTCGTGCATATTAACTTAAGGTGACTATTTATACTAGCCTTGCTCCAGTTCACGCTGCATCTCCTGCAGCTCACAAACAAATATACGAGAAAACAACTTTAACATTTGTTTGTTTTGTAAATTGTAGACGCGGTGACTAGCGCCAGGTATTAGCATTCGTATCCACAGTAGCGTATCTCCTTTAAAACTTTTCCGATCTGATCCTTTATGTAAAAACTCTTTCAACAATTGTGATTTGTTGTTGTAACTACGCTCTTCACCAATTTCATCACAGATGTGGCGAAATGTCTCTAGTCGGTTGTCTTGATTTTTGCTCATTTCTTTCGTAAATAATCGACTTGCTCGTATTAAGGTGGCAAAATGTTTTGTAAATAAATTAATTTGTATACTTTTTAACATTCAAACACAATTTGAAAACATAATCTTTTTTTCCACAGAAAATTGTAAGCAAATATATGATTCGCGTGTAAACAAATCCGGTCGTTTTGACACAGCTCAGCTGTTCCCCACAGTTCCAAATGTCAATATCATACCAGTGTTGTCGCCCTCGAGAGTGCAGTGTCGATTTGAATTTTACGGCGGCGCCGACGAGAGGGTGCAGGCAAGTATACGATTTGGATACATATTTATTTGAAATGCAACAGCTTTTTCATTCCGAACTTTTAGATCAAATTTTTGGATTTCCACATTCCGGCAGAAAATAAAAACGCTACAGAATGCAAGACAAATGATGTGCTACAGCTGCTTACTCAAGTGCGTGGGAAATACGAACCAGCTGAAACATTTTGTGGAGCATTTCTACCCAAACCTATCATGTCGAATGGGCCGAAATTGCTACTCCAATTTATTGGCCGGTATCCCCCAACTGGCTCGAAAATCAATTACTACGGCTTCAAAGCAGAGTATAAGTTTGTAAAGAGTACGTTGACATATATCTTATATAATGTATTAATTTGGCACAATCCCTTATTTCCAATAACTGTTTTCAGATTTTGGGATATCCACGGGACAGCAGGTTGATGAAAATTGTACGTTCACGTATAATAGTACAAATCGGAAATCCGGTTGGTTTGGGTCCCCGAACTTTCCTGGTTATTACCCACAAAATATGATTTGTCATTACTACTTCTATGGTGAACCAGATGAGCGTGTCATTATACGATTTACTTTCTTTGATGTTGAGGGTATCGGCACGTGAGTCGGTTTATTTTACATTAACCTCATTAAGTTAAATACAAAAATGTGTGCTTTTAGTTGTGAATATCTGACAGCAAGCGATTATGTGGAATTTTCGAATTTTATGAGCACTGATCGCAAATATGGAAGATACTGTGGAAAACGGGACAAATTTGAGGTGCGCTCAGATGGTCGGTTTTTTCGGGTTTCTTTCTATTCAAACGACCGTTTCGATAAAACTGGATTTCGTGCTATATACGATTATCAAGGAAAACGGTCGCGCGTGGAAAATACCTCAATGCAGAGCTATATATCTGGCAGTAGTGGTATCCTCAAATCATATTACAGTCTTCAAAATGCATTTACTCTGATAATGTTGTTAAAACTATTTGCATATTTCAAAATAATAATTTAAAGAAATTGTGTAACTAACTGAGTTTTACAGAATTTTTGATTTCTATAGATGGTGAGTTGCTGTAAATATATGTCCACATACATATGTGTATGAAAGTAAATGGATTTTTTTTTTAATTATGCAATGTAAAAGACTGCATAAAAATTAAAGGTTTGCTTCTTAGACGGTCTGGTCGTCGTAGTTGGAAGAGCCCCGTCTTACATATATCCGTCTTTGTTCGACAGCAGTAGTCCACAACGGGAAAACTTTACGCTGTTTCAAGAAAGTGACTTCTTTGTTTAATAAGTAAAATACTTTCGAATTACAAACATTCTGTTTTTATAACGTGGCAACACTCTTAGTGGGAAGCAAATTTCCAGGTGTCAAATTTGAAAAGATTGCGCGCTACATAAGCGTTTAAACAAATAGTCCGGCAACAGCTGATGCGTTTGCATTTCGTACACCACACTTGAAGGTCGTGGTGAATATTAGCAATTCGCGTTGAGCGGTTTTTCCAATAAGAGAAGATTCTCTAGTCTTTTTTTGACTTTCGTGCGGTTTGGTTTATTGGTGGTTCCGTTCGTTGCTGCTATAAAATTTGAGTGATGCTTGCATAGTTTTTTGCTCGAAGAAAAGGCCAATCAAAATCAAATAAAGTAAAAAAAAAATCGAGGATTACCACGTATCCTACACAAAAGTATTACGACGTTTATTGCCACTGCCTTTGAACGAAAATATTTTTCCACCGGAAATTGCAACGTTCGCATCCAGTTGAATTGCCGTAAATAGAGCTTAAGTACGAGGAGTGCACAACTAAATCATAAGACCGCTGACAAAATGCTTTCACGTCCAATGTAAGTTTTCTGTAAAATTTCCTTCAATGGCCGTGCAAATCACCGACAGGCAACATGCTTGTTTATATAAAAGTTGTTAATATTTGTATTCAAAATTTGGATAAAACAAACAAATGAAGAAAATTCGCTATCGGCTTATGCAACGATGGCTTGGCAGGTGGTACATGGCTGGCGTGTGCGCGCGAATGTGGTGTGAAGGCAATTGGGTTGGCGATGATGTTCCGGTGTGCATTTCAACAATTGCATACATAAGTACCCTGAAAAGTAGTGTATGTATGAATGTGCTGATGTGGATATGTTTGTAGGCATCACGGTCATTATCATTGACCCACTGTGTACACATTACCTGAGTGACTAGATTACAGCGTGCTTAATACCAGTGGCTTCGCCAACCTTGCTCCACTTTAATCTGCTTCCCAGATCACGTTCATTTATTTATTGCATATATAAATATGAATGTGCATCTACATATGTATGCATATGCAATTCGCCAGTAAATACGATTTGTTGGGTGTTAAAGTTAACTGCTGTGGTTGGCGTGTTGACGCCGCTTTGTCTAGTCGCTTCTTTTCCATATGTATGCATATGTATGTGAACTATAGATTTATGTATAAAATTATTTTCTAGAAGCTATGTATATACAAACTATGTATGTATATACTTGCCACACCCCCTTCTAGTACCGGCTTGGCCCCACTTCATATCTGTCAGCCATTCTGGTCACGCGATTTACATTCATTTGTACTTGTATAAGTCCATAAGTGTTTTAGTTTTAGAGATAAAAATTGCCTAAAATAATTACATAATCGGACCAAATATTTCGTTGCTTCGTTCTGAAAAGTATTATAATGAGCATATTTTTTCTTGGCATTGAAGAGCCAAAAGAATATGAGCAAATGTCTGCGTTCGGCGAACTCACTTCATTTGCAGACGCACATAATACATATTATATGCATATTTTAAGCGTGTGGATGTGGCCACATGAAAAATCAATAAATACACATTCGCACATAGTAAGTGATTGCCGTGATATGTACATACATATGTGTGTATATATTTAGGTGGCGAGTGTTTTTTGTATACGGGCTATATTATTTATCCGGTGTTATTGGGTTAAATTTGGTGAAAGAATTAATATTTTGTTTTTGCAAATCACGATTTTTTTAAGCTGCGTATATACATATGTAAGTGTTCACAAATTTAAAATTTATAACAAATTGTCAATTAATATTTGCACCTTGTCCAAGGCCATATGCATGTAATATACATCTTAATTTACCAATATTAATTCCTATACAAACATAAGTATGTATTTATATTTTGATACACTTGTATTTTTATTAAAACAATATGGTAAAATTTGTAAATCATAATTCACAATTGCCGCTTGTTTTCCCTATTTGATCTATCTAAGTTTGTTTTCTGAAAACTATGGGCATGCATACATATGTATATACAAAAATTGTACATATACATATACTTGTATGCACCTATGTATGTATTTATATCAATCTGAACATAACAGCTGATCGATCAGCCTGTGACAGTATTCACAAGGCAAAAAATTCCACAAATAAATGAATTAATTTAATGTTTGCAGTTTTTATGCCGTCATTGCCTGAATTTTGTTTTTACGAAATTTTCGTAAATATGCGAAAATATTTGATAGTGAAGAATACATATATGTATGTATGTATGTTTATACACACACATGTTAACAATGTATAGTAGAATATAATTTAGAATTTCTTTTCTTTCTTTTCAACTCTAAACCAATTACAATATAATATTTTGATAATTATGTGTACATATACATACATATGAACATATGTACACAATAAAAATATGCACAGATTTTAAAATACTGAGCGTCTTCGAACTAACAACAAATTAGTAAGCTTGAACCTCGTTTTTAGTGCCCTGCAATGATTTCTGTACTCCCAGATATTTTTTCACTTTTTTTTTTTAAATGAAAATGAAATGATGAAAGAGAAAGTACTGTTGATAGCAAAAAACTAGAAGTGGGTGTTTCTGAGAAAGTAAATACTTTGGCAGCTAAATGCTATTCAAATGTTTACATACAATTTTATTTATATTCACATACATATGTTTGCATGTATGTATACTCGTATACATGATTTCTTATGTTTGTGTTCGGTTGAAGGAATTATACTGCATTCTCTTAGATGCAAATCGTAAATCGTAGACAAATAACAAATTAGCCAGAGTATACAGTATTGCCAAAAAATTAAGATACATTGTTTGTGTATATAGAAAAGATGGATGCATATAAATATTTTTCTTTCAATTTAAAATACATACATAAGAATGTTTTTTGCTTACGTTTATTTGCATGTTTGTGTCTAGAAATACACTGCTTGAATTTTCATATTTTATTCAATTCTTAGCAAGCGTCAAGGCTTATTAAAAGTCTCTAATTTTACTCAAAATTTCAAAAAACTTTGGCTAGTATTAAGCGATTTTACAAACGCATAAAAGCTTCTATTTTATTTTGGTTCTTTCATAAGAAGCCAACTGGTTGAAGATTATTGTTTTTGCACGCACTGTTATCCGTCACAAAGTGTAGAAATAATTAAAAAAGAAATAAATAAAAAATAAAAAATACCTTTTCTTTATTGAAATGTGAATTTATTTAATGTATTTATGTGTACACAGTTATGTATATACTACATATTTGAAATGATCATCATTTTGTAAATATATTAATGTTTTGGAGATTTTCCAGAAAAAATTTGTAAAAAATGAATAAAGTACAGTGTTTATCAACAAAAACAAAAATAATATACATGTATGTATATATACATATATACTTATGGCTGTTTACTATGTATATATACATATGTACTATGTATGTATATACATAAGTATGTATATAATCTTGCCTAGAAATTTAATACCTAAATTTCAAAAAAAAATTTAATTACTTACGATCTCCGACTTAAACAAAAACCCTCTCTACTGCTGAAGTGATCGACATTTTCCGTGGCTGAAACTAACACTTTGCACGAGTAGTGAATGGCTGAAGAAAGCCCTTATGCACAAGGAATTTGCTGTTGGCACCTTTCTCGGCATCGAGGGTGTGGTACTTTCCCCACTGCTTTGGGTCGTGGTAGTTAACGACCTACGTAAAGAACGGGTGTAAGTCTACGAGCTAACAGAAGGATATCTCAATGTGGTATCCAACTGGACGGATGGATGCGGCTTAGCCATCAACACAAGTAAAACTGAGATGGTTTTATTTACCAGGAGGTATAATTCTTCAGGCATGTCTCTCTCCTCATTTGGAAGCTCATGTCGTCAATAGAGGATAGAAAGCTTTAATGGAGACCAAACATTGAGGAGAGAGTGAGGAAGGCATCGGTTACCTTATATCGCTGTAGAAGAGTCATAGGGAAAAGGTGGGGACTCTCACCTAAAATGGGGTTTGGCTCTACGAAACCGTAGTCAAGCCAATAATGTTCTATGGTGTATTCGTCTGGTGGGGAGCGCTCGAAAAGAAGCTTGAAGCTTGAAAGTGTCCAAAGAGCATCTCTGAAGTCGCTGAATACGAGATGCAGTGAGTTTTTTCATGGATGCGTCGAATCTAGGAGGGAAGGTTGGAGGGGTTAAGTCTTCTGTAAAGAGCTCTCGGTCAATCTTAGCCTTAGGGCACCGGACCACTGTATTGTTTTTAAGGCAGGAGTGGCTGCTCTTAAGAGCATGTGGTGCTATGACGTGTAGCCTATTTCAGGGAGATGAGCATGCACTCCGACAGTAGAGCGGCAATACTAGCGCTCAGCTCGCTAACCGTCCGCACTAAAAATGGCATCAAGCTACTTCAATAGGCATTCATGCAGTAAGGTTAAAAATATTGGCGAACGCAAGTTATCAAAGTTGTATGGAGGAGATTGATATGGAAACATCCAGACACTTTCTCCTCCACTGTCTAGCATTTGCAAGACTGAGAATGAAACATCTTGCCTTCAGTGAACCAGGAGATTTGCAAGGGTCTTCTGATCCATTATATAGAAGTTTCGGGTTCAATAAATGGGTAGGTCATTGTATGCAGAACTACATATATACAGATATGTAGAAAAATTTTGAGGGTGATCGGATCTGAGTATTAACTCAAGCAAATTTGAAAATTGTAGTTTTGAGAAAATAAAAATTTTAAATATAA